GTAAACAAACCTCATCACTTGAGAAGGTAGGTGATGCGGACGTCGTGGAAGACATTTTGTCCCGTAACGCTCGCCGTACTGTTGGGGGGAGAAGCGGTTGGGGGGGGGGATGTTCATGTTGCTGCAGTCTGCAGTCTGAAAATTACACACTGTAGCTTTAAATATGATTTCCCTACGACTTTAAAAAACAAGTACTCAATTCTGTGTTTTTGTATTATATAATATTAGATATAAGATATATTAGATATTATTGATAACACAACACCAACAATAGAGTAATAAAAAAGGATACTTTTAGAAATCTTTTGTAAATTAAAAAATATATTACAGTAATATTTTTGCATGTTAATTTCAAATGCAGATGTCAGCTTTTATTATTTAACATCATGGGCTTCGTTCACATTAAAGGTCAGATCTTTTTTGTTGGGGTCTTCACATGAATGTCTCAAATTGTGGCCCTGAAAATGTCCTGCATGCACAGAGAAACAAGTCATGTCAAACCACGCTGGGAGCAGAAGTGAATCGCATGTGAAGATGATCAATAACAAGACATGTCAGAAGTCAGTGTTTATGGATGGATTTAAAGCTATTAAGCAGAGGAAGCAGCCAGATGATACAGCAAACAATGTGGAAAAGGAGAGTGAGGAGAAAGAGCTCAAATGCAAACTGAAAAATGTTTGGTTAAAAATAACCCAATTTGAGTAGTTCATAACCCTGCCAATGTAATTTACCCCAACAATTTGGTTTAGTTTTCTTAAAATAACAATTGGATTGTTTGTATAATCTAAAAATAATTATATCTTACTGTAATTACGATAATGATTTCAATATATAACAACTGTTATTAATATTGCAATTTTAATTAGACATTATTTTGTTGATGAAATATACTCTCAAACCAATAAAGTTGCAATACATATTTATTAAAATACAGAATTATCAGAACCAACAAATATTTAACAATAAATAAACATACAAAATTTCCATGAAATTGTCATGTAGGCTTACTGTTATTCAAAAACATTTTGAAGCACAGATCAACAGCAGCAAGAACCGTCTCATCTTCACTAGCCTTGCTCGAGATTACAACGTGGCTTGAGAGCAAAGAAATCTATTTTCAAGCAGCACCATAAATGGACGACACCTGGAGGACTCTCCTTTCTTCAACTACTCCACCATGTTAGTTCCAACCTACTGTATGAGGAGAAAAAAAAAGCAGCAAGTTAAAAAGGCCAACCAAGCTGCAACTTGTTGCTTTGGCAACAATAGTCCACTCAGCAGTTTCTAGTAAAAACCCATGGATAGCAAACAAGTTGGCGAGGTATGCAGAATTCATCATAAAGTCAAACTGTAAAGCTTTGTGTTGTTATTATTACTTTCATTTCTAAATTGGTGCAAGAAACACACATAGCCCAAATGTCAGGTTGATATTATTTTCTGTCTTTGTCCATTTCAAAGGTTTTTCTAAAGGCAAAACAACAAAGACTAAATGATATCTTTGTCTCAGGTTTCCAGCATGTAAGCACATTGTCCCTTTGTGCACAGGGGGAGCAGTGTAATGTGGTTCCAGACACCATTGATGACATAGTGGCTGACATTGGACAGGAGGAGAAGGTGGAAGGTAAAGTAAAACACACAAACAGAAACTTCTTTATTACAGCTAATTAGAAAAGAAGCCTAACAACATTTAAAACACTGAAGCTCACATATCCAGGAGGCTCTGTTGGAATAAGGCAAACTGTGCTCATTACAGACACAGCTTGTTTCAGATGAAGCTTGGGCAGCTGGGATGAAACAATGACTTATGGATCCAGCAGGTCTTTAGCTTTAACCTGCAGTAAAGCTAAAGCTCCTACGGTTGCAGAGCCTCACCTTTGGGTTCAACATCCTCTCCGTTTCAAATACAGCTGCTTGTTACATTTGGTCCAACCCAAATGCTCTGACTCTCTAAAATAATCCACCAGAAAACCTGAATAGAAGACCATGAAATTTGTCTCTTGAACTTTTCTAACCTTTGTCAGATTTTATGACAAACCAACAGAATGGAATGTTATTTTTCAAAGTAGGAAAAAGGATAATGTTTTTATTGACATTTCTAGAGTAATGACTGTACTTCTTAGACAACAAAAGTTAACAAAAGAGATTTTTCAGATCAGGTCATACACTACAGATTATAAAACAACATCCAACGACATCTTAGCAGCAATTTTTACTTCATCATCCAACCTTATTAACAGTGTTGAAAAACCAGAAACCTATCAAGTTATCCAACTCATTTGACCAAGTGTGGAGAGCAGTATTGTTCTTAGTAGCACACAAAGAATCCATGGTAACTCTAGAAAGGCTAGAGAAAGCTATGAATTGTAAGAGAGATAATTCCAACTATGATATTCCACAAATTTCACATTAATGGATAAGTGGGAAAAGAAAGATTTTTTTACATGGTGGCCAACGGATGCAACTTCTATAGGTCCTGCAAACCCAAAAATAGACTAGCAAACAATAAAACGAGTCCCACTCACAGACTCCAAAGGAAAAATGCTGCAAGTAACAAAAGCCACTGAAAGTCAAGAAAAGCTGCATCCCCGGGGGGGATGGTGTCTAAGCCCTTAGTAAGGGCATTAAGCTGAGGTCACAGATTGACCGGGGTCAGGATCCGGACCCACCTGCTGGCTAATCTGGATCAAACTTTATTTAAAACATTTATTAATTACTGCATGTTGTCCTAAGACAGTGTCTAACTTCACTTACGCCACTTCTCCTGTTAACATAGTAAAGCCCTCCAGAGCGTCCAGCACCAGGCTACACGTGATACAAATTAGCCAATGAGCTGTCAGTCTGGGTTGCTGCTGCTGCTACTTTTAGACACTAAAGGCAAACCTGTGAAGACGATGAGAAAAGTAAGCAGGGAAAGTGTGGACTGCTGGAAGAAGTGCAGTGAACTGGTGAAAAAAGTGAAATGGCGTGCTCAAAGATGACATTTTGAGTATGTTTGGCTCAACTTACTGCTGTGAAGCAGGATTCTCCTCCATGAAAAGAATCAAAAATAAATATTGATCCAGGGTCATGAAGGAGCACCTTGATATGTGCTTTAGAATGGCTTTGGCACCATTCAAACCCAGGTTTAGATGCATGAAAACCTCATTTCATTTCTGTTAAATTCAGTTTAAAGTGACAGATTAGTCGCGGAGGCAGAAGCTTGTGAAACACATTTAATGTTGTCCTAGAAATAAACAAAGATTCAACATAGAATGCATCCATCATCATCCTTGTCCATCCATCATCTTTGTAAACAATTTATATTTGTATGCATTCAGTTATCTTTTAATGTGTAATATACTCCAATTTAAGTAGTTAAATATTTATATTCAACATCAGTTTGGTGGGAGCACCTGAAAGTCAATTTTATAGATTATTTTCACACTAGAGATGATTCTTAATAGATATTTGCATTTTTTTTTTTTTTTTAGATATCACTTCATTTAATCAAAGTACTATTTTTTTCCTTCCTTGCAACATAACACTAATACCTATTTTTATATTAAATTACTTTATCTTTGCCTTAAGAAATCTTGACTTTCTGGCTGTCTAATAAATGTCTTCTGTAGTGATTGTCCCCCGGCCTCCTGCTTCCAGACTCCTTTTTCCTTTCTCTGTCCCTCCACCTGTCCAGCATTTCTTTCTTGCTTCTATGTGAGCTGACACCAAAGAGGAAATGTTCCATTCAAGCTGCTCCCTCTGCTCTGCCCAGACCCTTAATGCTTTCACCTACAGATCCACCCATCTCTCACTTTACCTCTTCAGCTCCTTTCTTCTTTCATTTTCCTCTGTCATTATGTGCTGTCCTGAAGCACTGGGTCCATTTGGGTTTGTCCTCCAGGTTCAGCGCTATAGTCTCTCTCACCTCTTCCTCCCAATTTCCCAGGAGAAAAAAATTAATTGAAGCCCATACCTCTGCTACTTCTCATCCTTCTGCTTCCTCTCATAATTGGATGAGACGTTCACAAATCAGACTCCTTTCTTAGGGTCAGCCTGAATCCCTCTGCAGCTTCCTTTCTTGCTTGGATGTAATTTAGTGGACTCCGGTGGACTGATACGTGCTCTAATCACATTTGGATTCAGCGTTAAGTAATTTTCTCCATCCTCACTGCGGCTAAAAAAATTTAGATGACTCATCCGCAGTGAGGTAGGTTATTAATCTGTTCAAATGCAAATTAAACTGCCTATATTGACCTTTTCACCTCAAATCTCCCCAAATTGTAGGAAATAAATGAAATTAGTCCTCATCCTTTCATGATCTGTCCATCTAACTCTCTTAGACGACACACCAGAGACGTGCATCTACTCCACTTGGTCTCCCTGGTCAGCCTGTAGCAGCTCGACGTGCGACAAAGGTCGCAGGATGAGACAAAGGATGCTGAAGGCTCAGCTGGATCTCAGCGTACCTTGTCCACACACCCAGGACTTCCAGCCCTGCATGGCCCCGGGATGCAGTATGGAGGGTAAGAACACACATACAGGAGAGCACACAAAGCTTGAAAGAGAGTAAGCATTCTCAGGAAGTTTATTGTCCATAAATAACATTTAATTGTGTGGAATGGCCTGTGCTTGCAATGTTGGAATGCAAATCAAGATCATTCTTTATTTTCCCTCATTAAAGGAAACTTTTTTTAAACTTTTAACAGGGTCAGCTTTATATCCCTGAGGTGCTTCAGCACTTTGGGAAGTAAAGATTAAAGGTCCCTTTTAGACCTGGCACCAACATAAGCCCAGCAGTCACAAATCACCAGCTCTAAGTTGTTTATATCTGGCAGAAAAGAGAAAGTCATAACATTAAAAGGTTTATGAATGTGTGGCCCCCCAGTTGGACCTACAAATGTCACAAAAATACTTTCCAACAGATGCCTTGGTTGTTAGTGTGGTTTGAGTTTGACATTGTTTTCTATTATTGTTTTTTTTTTTTGTCACATTAGATTGTTTTAGATTAATTTCAATATGAGATACCTTGAGTAAATACAAAAAGCAGCATTCCAAAATCTTAAAAAAATTAAAGTACA